GGGACTGCAAGCGCCTTGTGCCCCGCAAGGGCCGGTGAGCTGAGCAGTTAGTGCTGCCTGCTGCAGCAGCCTCAGCCCCCAGTGCTGCCAGCCTGACAGGGAAGGTGCCGCTTACCTGGTGAAGTGGAAGGTAAATGAGCTGTCAGAAAGCTCCGGCCTCGCTGCCTCGGCAGCCTCGTCTCTCCTTCCAGCCCTCCTCCTCTTGGATGCTTTTCCAAGGCTGATGATGTCCTGCCCCTACCTTGCAGTGCCCTGATGGAGAGCTGGTACCTGGCTTATCCTTAGTTTCCTTTCCCCTCCAGCCCGTAATTGAGATGAGGCTTTTATGCCGGGGGTTTAGGGCTGTTGGGTTATGCATGTTTTTCCCACCATCATCTTTCCTGGGTGTTCCACCGCCGCAGCATGTCCTGATGAGATCCTGCATCCTCACAGCCTCTCGCCCACATCCCTGCGAGCCGTTTTAGGGCGGCTTGGGTTTTGCTGGCAGTGCAAGTGGCTTCTGTGGGTGGCAGGCGATATCTTTAGCTGTTAGTCACCCGAGATGTCTGTGTGCCCAGGTGCTGCACTAGGTTTTTCACGCTGCTGTGCATTATTTGGTTTTCTTTGCTTGAGGTTCATCTGCTCAGTTTATGACTATGGGAGCAGAAACATGAACCTGAAACAAAGCAGAGGAATCTGATGTGGCACGTTGGCATCTCTGGTCTGCACCCACGCCAGAGGTCCCTCTCTCTACCTTGTGTCTCACAGAGGCTGACAGGGGGATTTCCCAAGCCAAATACAGGATCATGATACTAATATTCCTTGATGGATCCTTCTTCCAAGATCCTGCCCCATCTCCCAGTGCCATCCTGTATCCTTCTAGCACCCATGGCTTCCTGTGGCAGGAGACCTACAGCATCACTGGATGTTGTGCCAGGAGCACCCTTCTTTGGGGTATCTCAGCCTGTCTCGGTTGTGAGAGCTGCATGCCTGACCTGGGATGTCCAGGACCAAGCTTCAGCAAGTCTGGGTGACCCTGGCCCAGCCTTTGCTAGCCTTGCAGAGGGAAGGGACTTACTGGGCAAGACAGCATGTGTGCAGCAAACAGATTTTCTTCTTCTTTTTAATGTTCCTAAATGAAGACTGACCTTTCTGCAGCTGTTCAGTACTGGGCATCTCCCCAAACCCCTCCTTTGTTGAGAAGAGTCTGCTTTGTAGCTGTCAAACTTGAGCCCAGAGTAGAACATCCAGGTGTCTGGAGACGTCTGCTAATACTCCAGGACGTGTCTGGGATCACTCAGGCTTGTTTGTCCTCTCCCATGAGAGGATAATCCTGAGCGATGATGGGTGCTGTAGGATGTGTCACCTCCTGGGAGGACGCCCCATTTTGCTATTGGACTGCAGGGCCTGATCCAGTATCCCTGAGTGTCTCTCCATGTGTGTCCAGAGGGGCTGACCGTGCAGAAGGGGCTGTTCACCACGCAGCGCAGGCAGGAGATGGGGCTCGAGGGCAAGGTGGGGGGAGGCCGAGCCATCTGACCATTCTTGCCTGCACTCAGGGGACATGCTGCGCCTACGCACGGTGCTGGAGGCCATCCAGAAGAACATCCACTCCTCCTCCTTGATCTTCAAGCTGGCCCAGGACGCATTCAAGATCGCCACACCGGCTGACAGCAACTCAGACACAACACTGCTCAATGTGGCGCTGGAGCTGGGGCTCCAGGTACGGGATGGTGCTGGGGATGCTGGTGGCTCTTCTGCCCCACGTGCTGCAGCAGTGGCACTGGTGACGGTCCACCAAGCAGATGATCTGTCACAAGAGGAGTAAATTGATCCCTACATGGCCCTGAGCAGGGAAGCTCAGCCCTGGGAGGCCTCTGTGCCTGCTGTGGTTTGGGTGGAGGTGAGGCAGTACCAGGGAGCCAGTAGCCAGCTGGGCCAGAGGGATTTTTGGGGAGCACCACTGTGTTGGGTGGCCTCATTGGAGCCCTGTGGGGCAGCTGATCACCCCAAGTTTGTCTCACAGGTGATGCGCATGACCCTGTCTACCCTCAACTGGCGGCGGCGGGAGATGGTGAGGTGGCTGGTGACGTGTGCTACCGAAGTGGGTGAGTACCTCACTGTGCCAGGGGGATCTGGCTCATGTGCGGTGGGAGCGGGATGGGCACAGAGATCCTGGGTAACTGGGTGCAGCTCAGAGCACTGGCTGGCAGAGCTGAAGCCACAGCAGTGGCCAGGTTTGGGACTGGGACAGCGCAGGGTAGCCTCTGCCTGTCCCCCTTTGCCCTGTCCCTGTTGGGGCAGAGGCAGCGGCTCAGCACTGCCGTGGGCTGCCTTTGCCTTGATTCTGGGCACCTGGGGACTTGGAGGAGCCCCATGATCCAAGCCAGGCTCCCAGGGCTGTGCTGTGACCCCAGTGTTTTCTTGCAGGGGTGAGGGCCCTGGTGAGCATCCTGCAGAGCTGGTACTCGCTGTTCACTCCCACGGAAGCCACCAGTATTGTGGCAGCCACAGTGATGTCCCACAATACCATCCTGCGCCTGAGCCTGGACTACCCACAGCGGGAAGAGCTGGCCAGTTGCGCCCGCACCCTGGCCCTGCAGTGCGCCATGAAGGACCCGCAAAACTGCGCCCTGTCTGCCCTGACCCTCTGTGAGAAGGACCACATCGCCTTCGAGACCGCCTACCAGATTGTCATCGACGCTGCCTCCACTGGCATGACCTACACCCAGCTCTTCACCATTGCCCGCTACATGGAGCACCGGGGCTACCCACTCCGGGCATTCAAACTGGCCTCGTTGGCCATGACACACCTCAACCTGGCCTACAACCAGGACACGCACCCAGCCATCAATGACGTGCTCTGGGCCTGCGCCTTGAGCCACTCTCTGGGCAAAAACGAGCTGGCAGCCATCATCCCGCTGGTGGTGAAGAGTGTGCACTGTGCCACGGTGCTCTCGGACATCCTTCGCCGCTGCACCATGACGGCCCCAGGGCTGGCTGGCATCCCCGGCCGCAGGAACTCGGGGAAGCTGATGTCCACCGACAAAGCACCCCTGAGGCAGCTGCTGGACGCGACAATAAGCGCCTACATCAACACCACGCACTCCCGGCTCACCCACATCAGCCCGCGGCACTATGGGGAATTTATCGAGTTCCTCAGCAAGGCCAGGGAGACCTTCCTCCTGGCGCAGGACGGGCACATACAGTTCGCCCAGTTCATTGACAATCTCAAACAAATCTACAAAGGCAAGAAAAAACTGATGCTGCTGGTGCGGGAACGGTTTGGGTGAGTCCCGGTCCCTGCCACGCTCATTGGCAGGGTCTGGCCAGCACGGGGACTCGGGAGAGAAGAAGGAAGGAAAGTGGAGATCACCTTCCCCCCATCAGCAGAGGCTGCTCTGTTCTGGTCTTCTGTTTCTTTTTTTCTTTTCTTTTTTTTTTTTAAGTTTTATTTTTTTCTTTCTTGGATTTAACCATTTTACATGCTGAGAGGATCCAGAGATTCCTTGGGCACAAACCAAAAGGCAACCATGGGGAAAAAGGATGGTTCGCTCAGCCCCCTGCCCTCCCTTGCCAATACCAAAAGCTAACCTGGAAATCTAATACCTCTTTCCTGAAGGAAGCGGTCGCTGGAGGGATCCGAAGGTTGCAAAGTGCAAAAATCTTTAAAATTACGTGGGGAACTAAAAAAAAAAGAAAAAAAAGAAGAGCGAGCAAAGAAACCCGCGACACTAGAACCTCACGCGTCACCAAAAGCGATGGCTTTGCAGAGCGCTTCTCCCGCCCGCCCGAGACATGCAAACTCCTCTATTTGTGAAGATACTTCAATAAAAACAAGTTAAAGTAACTGTTCTCAGGGATTGCTTACTAAAAGTAACACAAAAAAAAAAGCATTTATGATACTGTAAATACTATAGTATATGTGTCAATTATTAAATTGTAAAGTTATAATTATTTATAATTCTGTCTTTTATTTGGGGGATACTTGAAATTGTCGTGGGCTGGGGCGATTATTTTTATTATTGCTATTATTATTATTGTTATTATTATTATTATTATTATAACTATTATTTAAAAAAAAAAACAAACACAACACAGAAAACAAAACCACAGACAAAAAGAGGAGGAGGCACGCGAACATTTCTCAGGTTCCCACAGCATTGTCAGCAGCGAGAAGGGTGTGGGGGGAGGCAAACGTCCGCTCGACTTGCAGCCCTGGGATGGACAGATGGAGGAATGGACAGAGCGGCAGCCCAGCGCTTGAGGACAGCGAAGGAGGGGACTCGGGACAACACTCGCTCGGACACAGATGGATGCTGGCGATGGAGGACACAGGCCCATCGCCATCTCCCGGCGGGCACAGGGGTGCGAGGTGCCTGGGCGGGCGGGCACCGGGGCTGCCCAGCTCCTGGGGAGGGAGTGGGGGCCAGCGCAGCCGCGCTGCTGCCCAGCTCCTTTCTGCTTCCCAGCCCTGTGGTGTGGCCAGCGCTCAGCCCTTCCTGGCTTTGCCCTGGGCCAGGGGCAAACTCTACAGCCTCAAGCTCATGGCTCTTCGGTTTTGGTTCATTTCTTCGCCAGCGGGTCGGGAGGGCTGGGGGCGGGGGGGCCAGGGCTGGTCTGAATGGTGACTTGTAGTTAGAGAACGTGGGCTAGTTATCTGCTGTCTGGTTTGACTTTTAATTTTGGCAAGTGACTTGTGTCCGCGCTCCGGCCAGGAAACCAATTGTACTCAGTCTGTCGCCACCAAAATAGTGGTGTTTAACGAGTCTGTTTCTATTTTTCCTTTTTTTTTTT